AAACAACTTTGAATATACGTGCATTCTGGTTGTCTGGGGTACAAATAGGGTAAGGTGTTGCAAGTTGGTTAGTACATTTTTTAATTTGTTTGTTTGTAAATAGTAACAGCATTCTCAGTTCTGTTTCCTTAAAAAAGTGTTAAGGTGCTTACGACGTTATCGAGGTATCATCCAATTAATTAAAAGATTAATTTAAACAATTTGGGCAATCGTTTGGAGCTTGTAATAGGGGAAATGACGGCTTCGGCATGCCAGACTATTTTCGGCAACCCAAATTGAAACACTATTTTCACTGGATTTTCTTACGAAAACAGTTCGCTGAATGCATGCAAACGATTCCTTATGCTTTCAGCTTCAATTTGACTGTAATTTTACCACTGAGAAAAAGCAATCTAGCAAGGTTTTCTTGAAATGAAACACACGCACTACAAATTGTAGCTGATTTCGAGTTGCCGATAATAGAACAGCAGATTTACATGCAGTTCAAATGGAATGGTTGCCGAAGAAAAACTGGTTGCCGACAATACTCGCTCTCACTAGAGAAGATTGGAGCTTTGTAAAAGCGTTTCAAAACAGTTTTTGACAATTCTTTCGACTGAAATTGTTAGAGCAGCTGGCAGCAATAGATTGTAAACAAACCAATACTGCATATGTGTGCGTTCCTTAGAGAAAAAGGCTAGAGAAAGAAGGTCGCTGCTTAGGTTGCCGAGAATACGTAAATTCCCCTATGTTTATTTGGATAGCAGACTGTATTTTTTGAATAATTTTTTATACGTATTAAAAACTGGAGCAGTGGGACAGATATGCGTCCATTTTTGCAATGGGACAAAACGACTTCACATTTTTTTTCTAGAATAAACAGCATGTTTGAATATTATATTTCAAAAATATGTTTTGATTTATCCCGTTAAGCATCATAATCCCAAAAAAGTCAAAATGTCACATGGGACAGCTATGCTTCCACCGGCAGTATTGCTCTTATATCATTGTATGTGATACAAAAACACCCATCCAAATTTACTTTAATTTATTAATGAAAATCATAGGTAAAATATGGTCCAATGTACAGTTTGGAATGCTGGGTACTTGATTGTTACTTCGAACATTTGGTTTACCTACATTGATTTTTGCTTATTTTCTAAAGGCGGGGCAAGGAAAACCAATCCAAAGCTATTGAGAAGGGTTCCAGCCAGGGTTGCTTCCACTCACTTGCTGTAAAAAAATATTTTTCGGTATTATTCAAGCTTTAGATGTTATAATTAAATGTTGTACTTGTAAGTAACAAGAAGAGGGTGTAAAGTATGTGTTTTACTCATAAAACCTGTCAATTCCACTTTCAGAGCGTCACAATCAGCGATCTTATGATTCGTGAGCATTCACTCAGACTGAGCGCTCACGAGTCGTAAAATCACTGATTGTGACGCACTGCAAGCAATATTGACAGATTTTATTATCAAAATGGGAATAATTTAATTTATTAGTGTAGGTACTCTATTCTGAAATCTGTGATAGAGAATTTAGTGTCATGTAGAAAAAAACGTCCAATGTAACACTCATTGAGTCTGTCATTGAGAAAAATCGCCCAATGTAACATGTCCGAAGAACAACTTGACAAGTCAAAACGTCCTACCGTATGCGTGATAATGTTTGCACCATCGTACAAATAAGGTTCCCGTTTCACCTGTGCATACAATGCGTTGGTTTTCTTTGCATGCACGTAACCTATAGCTCATACCGTAGTAGGCTGTGTTCAAAAGAAAATGATTTACTTAGTTTGACAGTAGCACCATGACGAAGTGGCAGCAACAATCAATACGAAACTAACGATTTTAAATAGGCTCACTACTTGACTAGCCTATTGGTCCCAAGCAAATCGACTAAAGTACTCCATTCTACTATAAACTCCAGTACTACACTATGTTTGTTTTGATTCGCTATGAATGTTTGACAGATAAAATGAGGCGTTCGTGGATTTTCCTATGTTTCGAGGGGTGAATCAATTAGCTTGGGACCGAAGATAGTACTAGAGCTGAGCCAAAAAGTTGAGCTCGTTTCTTCGGGACCTTCTGGTCTTAGAGTTAACTCTGTGGTGGCAGCGTATTCGTGATTTGTCCCACGCGCAAATGTCGCAAAAAGACATTTCAATCGCCGTGGGAGTGTCCCGGTGGACCGTCAAAAGAGTTTTTTAGGCCGAGAAAAGAAGGGACAACTATCCGCGAAGGTGGCCACAGGTCGTCCGAGGTCAGCTCGGGTTCCGAGGGTTATCGCTGCTATCAATAGGAAGATTCGGGTGAATCCAGTGCGTTCAATCAGGAAAATGGCAAAGGAACACGGGGTCAGTGACTTTACGGCACGGAAGATCGTAAAGGAAGATTGCGGAGCGAAGTCGAGCACACGGAAAAAACTCACATGAGAAAATCTTGAACTTCCTTAAGCGAAAAAATCCGGTAATCCTGTTCACCGACGAGAGCATGTTTACCGTCGATCCCGTATCAAATTCCAGAACCGACCGGTATATTAGTTCCGGTAAAAGACGTGGCCGACGAGCACAAGAACGTGTATCTGACCAAGCATCCTGCTAGCGTTATGGTGTTTGGATTGGTGGCTTCCGATGGCAAAAAAAAATGGACGCGGTGTTCATTCCAGAAGGCGACAAGGTCAATACGGAGATCTACATCGGGATTTTAAGTAAGTTTGTTCTTCCGTGGATCAAAGAACAGAACGGTCCAAAGCCAAATGTTGTATTTCAACAAGATGGGGCTCCGTGCCACACCTCGAACCGCACTCAGAAGTGGTTGCAGGAACATCTTCCGTTCTGGGCGAAGGATATGTGGCCGCCATCCAGCCCCGATCTTAATCCGGTGGATTACTCAATATGGCGCGTCATGAAGGCCAAGGCCTGTTCTAAACGCCACCCGAGTTCAGCAAGCCTCAGACAAACATTGACCCGTACATGGAGAGAAATGGATCCAGACTACATTATTAGAACCTGCCGTGCATTCCGAAAGCGCGTGGAGGCCGTAATTGCAGCAAGTGGAAACTCGATCGATGATTAACATAATTTAAGACTCTGAGAAACATCCCCCCTTTGAATAAATAAAAAAAAAATCTAAAACGAAATTTTTGAGAATTTTTTAATTTTGACATTGCTCAATGGTGCAAACATTATCACGCATACGGTAAAACGTCGGACATCAAATATCGTAGCATTTTGATCCACCGTTCACTGAAAAACCAATTCCTGCAAATATAGTATTTTTAGGTTTTATGGCGAGCTGATTGCATACAGGTTTTGCCTGTACGATAGTTTTAATTAGAGGGAACTAAATGTTGTGTACATTCCAAAATTACAACCCTCAAAATAGGCGCATAGATTTGAGTTGGGCGTTAAAGTTAATTTACCATGACATCACTGTGCGCGTTCTTTGGTGCAGGTACACGTGGAAGCAATTAAACGGGTTCAATTTGATCTGCGGGAGGTATATTTTGATCACTAATATTTCACATTTTGTTTCTTAATGTTCAATTTTTTAGTAAGAATGCATCCTATGTCGACATAATAAAATATTCGGAAAAAAGTGTTCTCCAACTTTCAGAAACCGTTCAAGCAATCCTATAACAGGAACCACGCATGTATTTGCTAAATCATGAATAGAAAATAACCCTTCTTCAACCATGCAAACTAGGCAACACATGTATCAACATAATCTTCTGATTTTCTACACGTACAAACTTAAGCCAACTTCTTAATATTTACCCTACTCTGGAACAATAACACAAACAAGGAATTTCCTAACCACATCATCAGAATATGTACAACTAATTACAACCGGAGTTTGAACTCACTGATTTATGCATAAATCAAAGGCATTCTAGCCAGTCCTCCAACATGTTTGAGTGTGCACTGTACGACGGACGACGTAGAATCTATAGTACAGGAATAGAGTTCAGATCCGGAAAACCACGCTAGCTTTCATGCCACGTGCCATAGGTATAGTTCAAGTAGTCAACTGTTTTCCGGTGGATCAGAACTATAAATAGCAAGAGCACAAACTTACAGCAAACTTCAAATGGCTTCCGTATTTATTTTTCTTTTATAATTTTCTCTCCGAAGATTCAAACCATACGGAAATTATAATCAATGAAATCTTCTTCTAAATTAAGCTCGCTTCTTTCCAGATCCAGGTTCCCCCATGACCAAATGCTCTAACTAACAAGAAACTCAATAATTCGCTAGAAACTAAAATTAAAAAAAAAACGGGTTAACGCTTGGAAATCTTCATCAACATTAAACGATCTTTTTCTCTCTATCCAAGGTACGATTCGTTTAACGGAAAACTCAACTGAATTTCGCTAATATTTTCTTACACTTTTTTCAATAATTTTAACTACCAACATAACTTTCCTATGAATGATCTGTCTCTGTCAACTAACTCTATATTTTCTTTAGTAACTATGGTTCTAAAATCTGCGCTCTTTCTACAATGCTATAATTTACAGTTCCCTCCGATATCGCTACAACTCAGTGGACGATCCTGTCTCTTCCTGTCACGTGTCATAGTTTGGTGATTTTTGTTGTTGTTGTTGTTGTTGTTGTTGTTGTTGTTGTTCTTGTTGTTTCTGTTCTGACAAATAGAGTAGGGTCTAATTGTTTTAGTTTTCTTCTTCTTTTCCTTAACATTGTTTACGAATAGAATTAAGTTTCGTTCTCCCTCTTCCTCTTAAAATGTGATCAATAAATCGAAAAAACGTACCACAGACAGTTGATTTTTTTTTCTTACTTGCTTGTTTGCCCTTAAAATTCAAATTTGATTCAGTTTTTAGTTGCTAAAGTTTTAAACATCGTATTGTCCATTACGTTTAGGTTGGATTTCTTGTTCATCTTTATGTCGTGACATTATGTTGATCTAAACGTGTATTATTCAGCGGTGCAGCTTTTACATTTTTGCTTTGTTCCGTTTACGTAACATGCTTTGGCCAATTTGGTTTTGAAACTAGCTTCAAGTTGTGATCTCAATGCTTAGCAAAAGTCTAACACCTGGTGGCATCGATTCGGTTAGTGGGATTTGTTATCGTTCAATTGTCGTTAGTCTGTTTACGTTCTTATTAGAGCTGGTCGTTCAATCGTTTGCTGAGTTACCATTAATTTAAGTGTATACATCTATAACATCTCTCATCTTACAACTTATAGTTCCTCCCAGGTTCAAAGTGCTGCATCTTGCATATCGCAAACTTTCATGCCCAACTCTACCTCAAAAATTGGAAAACAATCACAAATCATCAGATCCTGACTTTGCAACATACGCGGCTTAAAATAACGTCCATGTAAAAAAAAATACCCACGGTGTTATCCTCGGATAACACAAATGCGCTCTTGACTTTGGCGGCAGCTGCTGCTACTGCTTCTTCTTCTTCTTCGTCCTTCATGATTATGCTGGCATCACTGATTCCGTACTCGTTAGTGTTAATGTGCTGTATTAGTTAGAGTTTGTTAGTCGGTTTGGTATTTAATAGCCGTGCGGTCTTAGTGTCTAGTCAGAGAAGCTTTATCACGCACTGGTCAGCACCCATATCAGCACGAACGTCGCTATCGTCGAGAAGATTGACGCTCGGAACAGGGCGTTGGCCTTGCCACACTGTTTAATTTCGATTTCCTCCGGATGATAGCTGATGCAGCGATTCGGTCGCTTCCGAAGCATTTTCTCCTTCGCCATCCGGCGTACACCGCATGCCCCTGTGGATGAGATGAAATGCGATCAGAATGGTCAAATCCCGGTGGAGGGAGTTTCGCAAGAGAATAACTAATACAGGTTCGAGAAAGATTTGGTGATATTTTGGTCAATTTTGACCTTTAGGGTTCGAAAAAGAAGGCCAGGGTGAGTCATTTCACATATTTTTTACGATTATATGAAAAATCGAAACCTTCCAAAAGCGTGTAACGGCAAGTTTGCAATAACACCATTTAGCCATCTCTGTAGATTTTTTTGATCTTGAAAAGATTGAAAATAGGGTCGTCTACTTTTTTAAAAAGCGAAAAGAGTCGTTACACATTTTTTTAAAAGGGCAGAAATGTTCATAATTATCCAGAATGCAGTCATGGTTGTGGAAGGTTGCAACGGCTACCATCATACACACCCCTTGCAGCAGCGCATACCTTCGTACACTACAGACCTTGTACCGACCACAGACAAGAGAGAGTGTAAAATGTAAACAATTTATCAGTTCAAACCAAGCGCTTCTCGCGACAAGTTCGTTTTCTATTTTTGACCGCAATAAAACGTTTCCGAGTTTTAAACCGTAGTTCTCGCGTGTGCATTATTTCTGCTGTCCACTCCGAATCCCATACGCTGTTTTTCCACTTCGGTGACCCTGACTTTGCCGTCAATGGTTTATATATATGGATCCTGGAGACACCAGAACGATCCTCGAATGATCCTGAACATCCGTTAAAGTGGTCAATTCACGAACGTGATCCTATAGCTCCGTGTTTTTTTTTTCGAAACTATTAGGAATTGTGATATAAGACAGAATTTGGGGTCGTTATATAAACATGGACCTATGGTCATCGAAACATCCTCCGAAAGATCCGGAACCTCCACAAAAGTGGTCAATCTATGAAACTGATCCTGATCCATGAACTGTGATATTAGAAAGAATTTGGGGTCGTGACATAAACAATGACCCGAATGAACTTGGGACTGTCCTCCGGAAGATCCATAAAAGTGGGCCATCCATGAAACAGATACAAGAGCTCCGCAGTTTTTTTTTGTCAAAAATATTAAGAACTGCGATATAAGAATGAATTTGGGATCGTGATCGTGGCCCGGATTGCTATGGGCATCAGCCAATGAACGATCTTCTTTGAAAATTTAAACATTTCAACAACGATTAAAAAAACACGGAGCTCTAGAATCAGTTTTATGGAACTAGCACTCTTATGGATATTCCGGATCTCACGGAGGATGATCTCATAGCCATCCTGGTCCATGTTTATGTCACAACCCCAAATTATTTTACAGCTTTTAAAAATGTTTGAAAAAAAAAACTGCGGAGCTCTAGGATCAGTTTTATGGATTTACCACTTTTATAAATGTTCCGATCTTCCAGAGGATGGTCCCATGGTCATCCAGATCTATGGTTACTTCACGACTTAATTTTTTTTCATATATCACAATTCCAAGTGTTTAAAAAAAACGCGCGGAGCTCTAGTATCAGTTTCATGGATTTACCACTTTTACGGATGCTCCGGATCTTCCGGAGAACGGTCCCATGGCCATCCAGGTCCATGTTTATGTCACGACCCCAAATTCATTCTTATATCACAGTTCCATGTTTTTCGAAAAAACTGCGGAGCTCTAGGATCAGTTTCATGGATGAACCACTTTTACGGATATTTCGGATTTTTCTGAGGATGGCCTCATGGCCATCCAGGACCTTGTTTATGTCACGACCGCAATTTCGTTACTAGGGAAAATGGCTCTAATGTTGGCCTATGGATCTAAGATTGGGCCTATCGCTAAAAATCTGCTATTTATCAATGTTATCTAGATGAACGCCTCATTGGGACGATACTTATGGATATTTTTGGTCGCTATTGAAAATTTAGTCGATTGCTGAATTTATGTATGGGCATTTAGGCCGACATTACATCCATTTCCCCTATATCACAGTTCCACGTGTTTTCGAAAAACAAAAACTGTGGAGCTCTAGGATAAGTTTCATGGAAGGACCACTTTTAGGAATGTTCCGTCTCCTCCAGAGGAAGGTCCCATGGCCATGTTTATGTAACGACCCTAAATTCTTTCTTATATCACAGTTTCAAATGTTTTCGAAAAAACGGCGCAGCTTTAGGATCAGTTTCATGGATTAACCACTTTTACGGATGTTCCGGATCTTCCGGAGGACGGTTCCATGGCCATCTTAGTCCATGTTTATATCACGACTCACAATTCTATCTTATATTACAGTTCCAAGTGTTTAAAAAAAACGCGGAGCTCTAGGATCAGCTTCATACACGGACAGAAAATTGTTTGCATTGAACCAAAAAAATAAAGGGTTGTGTCCTACACGACCGCAGTATGACGTAGAACCACGCAAAATTGATGTTTGGCATGCATTTTTGACTATTAAACTTATTATTATGAATGGGGCGGGGCAGAACGTATCTTTTGTGCAGAATATGTAAAAAAGGATGAACTTTGGATGTTAATATAATTGCATATATAGAGGTACCAGATATGTTTGACAGGCAGCTGTGTGTAATTCACCAACATAAATCATCGAATATGCCTTTCAAGTATTTTTTTATTAAATTTGAAAGTTTTGGTGCGGGAAAATATTAACGGAAAAACTTTTGTTTTACTAATAATTGTGGTTTAACTTAAAATTTATTTCCCGGAAAAAAGTGATCGTGTATTTTTCGGGTTGTTGTTAGGGTGGAGAAGTTGTTGGTAGGGAGGGGGACGAGGGGGTTTAACATGCAAGTTTCCAAGTATCATTCCTCATTGTGGTGGACACGCTGTGATCCGACTTTAGCCGCCGACTTGGTTATGATTGCTGCAGGACCAAGTGCCACGCCGTCTGAAGTAGCAATGAGCAGCGCTGTTTTATATCTTTTCAGGTTCAAGCAGAATGATGGGCAACCGAACCTGATAGGATTTCCCGCCTTTTTTATGAATGAGGTGGAGCAAAAAGTTTAATTTGTGCAGAATATGTAAAAAAGGATGGACTTTGGATGTTAATATAATTGCATATAGAGAGGTACCAGATATGTTTTACAGTCAGTTTTTGGTAATCCATCGAGTGTACGTCTCCTGTTAAGCAATTGTTTTTGAATATGTTGGCTCTCCATGTAAAAAATTAATTGTTTATACATAATTGTGGTTTGCTTAAAATTTATTTCCCGGAAAAAAATGATCGTCAAAGTCCATGTCTTTTTCGGGTTATTGTTAAGGGGGTGGGAGAGAGGTTGTTGTTAAGGGTGAGGGGGTGTAACATGCATATTTTGTCATTCTCATTCCTCGTTGTGGTGGACACGCCGTGATCCACCTTTAGCCGCTGACTTGGTCCTGCTGCCGTCCGAAGCGGTAATGAACAGAGGCAGGAGAGCAGCGCCGATTTATATCTTTTCAGGTTCAAGCAAATGATGTGCAACCAAGTGGTATTCGGTTATGATGACTAGGTTTGGGAAAAAAGCTTATTTCATGAAAACAGTGATAAAATTATCATTTGGACATTTTCAGAAGTTTAATTACAGAAAATTGGAAACTTATTTATTTCAGAAGGTTCGTAATGTAATATCCTATCGATTGGCATATTTAAATTTTAATTTAATCTATAAATGACAAAGTTACAAGCGTTCAAAACCTAACACTCCTTCACCACGCATGTTTTTTGATTTGTACCCCAGTATAGTCGACAAAGACGTAGTTCTACGTCAAAAAAAACATTAGTTGTATTTAAACAAACAATTCCGGTTGAAATTATATTGCATTTTGTTGTTTCAATAATACTTATTCATATAATTTTTTTTCAATTTGTGAATTTCGGGAAATAAGTGCAAGATTTCCAAACATCTTGAGACTTGAGGTAAGTAAGTATGCTACATTTTTTTTTTTTTTTTTCTTTATTTTAGAGATTTTTAGCCTGAGGCTAAAGTATGCTACAGTTCTAGCTGCAGTTGCTAAATATAATATATTTTTCTGTTGTTTTTTTTTTCGTCGATCTTGTTTTCCGCGCTGAGCACCAATGCCACCGACGCCAGGAAGGCAGCTCCCACACCTGGACCCATCAACTCATGAACCGGGGACCAACGGCTTTACTTCCCTTCCAAAAGAAGGCGTGATCAGTGGTTTTATGCCTCAGAAATTCAATAGCAATTCTGTTTGTTGCAAAAAGAAAACAAACCAAAAAAATCGGCATTATTTTTGAATCAATAAACATATTTTTATTTCTACTGCGTGAATTGTCAGACTTCATGAAATAAATTTGATTGAATCAACAAGAAATCTCTTTTAAAAACAAACATATTACGCATTTAGCACCTTACTGGACTCCGCACTTTGAAAAAGCGGGAATGAAATAAGTGCGGGCCATGCGTATGACAGATAGAGTTGTCAAAGTGACAGTTATGCTTATCCGAAGTGAATACAAAAACATTGTTTTGATTTCATGATCTTACACTCTCATTGCATTCAACTCGAAACACGTGTTAAAATAATTTTGCAAAATATTTGCAATTTTGCAAACAATTCTAAATTACTTATTTGTGAACAATTATATGGTTTTCCAAGCATGAATAAGATTGAAAATGATTTTGAGACGTGTTTAAATTCAAATGGTGTTTCCAAATGTGTTAAGCTCAATAGCATTCTAGACGTGACCAAACCAAAAAGATCGTTGTTTTTCGTCAGCGTGAAACTCAAAATATTCCCAAAAATCCAGTCACCACTGCAACAGACAATATTTTTGTTGTTGACCCAGCTACCAAATTTGACAGCTTACACTACCGATCATAAGTTTAAGGACACCCCAAAAAACCATGCAAATATGTTTTGTTCAATTTTCGATTTCCAAAGGTTTTTTTAATGGTATGATTGGTATAGCATAAGGGAAGGTCCATTAATTATGTCACGCAAATCTGACCCATTTTGAACCCCCCCCCCACTCCCCACTTTGTCACATTTTTTATATGGACCTTAATTGTTTTTTGTAAGGCTCGTCACAGTTTCCAAA